AATATTTCCTTGTTGCTGGATAATATATATATATATATATATATATATATATATATACAAAAACGCACAACCTTAAAATTTAAAATTCAAACTCAGCGTTGCGACTGCACGTTCCAAAACAATAACACATTTCTCATAACATTTTTTTCGGATTACATCTCTATTTTCGTTGTCCTTTTATTACCGAGAAGTAAAAACAAGAACAAATCTATGTCCATACCTGAGGATGTCTGTAGGAACAGACGAAAGCTTGTAAAAACTAAAAAAGACCTTATGCAACTGGAATTTAGAAACAGGGATCATATCATTCATATACAGGTTCGGGGTTAGTGTATCTTATTGAAATTGTTTGCGAAGATGTATTCTCGCCATTTAAATCATTAACCTCTATATTTGTTTTTTGTATGAATGATTCATGAAATATATATATATATATATATATATATATAATGGTTACGTATGCTTGCGTAGATGTCTGTTATATATATCTCATATATCAGTAAAATTAAACTAAACGTTCTTTACCATGGGGCAAGGGTGAGCCATCATAGTAAAACTAGGCTCAGTTTTTTTTTTTAATCTAAGATATATATATATATCACGTCGGGATGTTACAAAGTTTATATCTGCTAACATATTTTCGTACACAAAAGAAAGTAATTTTTAAACAATGCATTTTTAATACATTAATTCTTACTTCTAAAAAAATTAAAAAGTTAGCTTAAAAGTATTTTCGTTGATTGGAAAAAGAATACAGCTTCGATTCCTGCCGGGAAGCGCATTTACATTAGGATTTTTTAATCTCTATAGGAGTTGATAGCAATTTAATTACTAAAATAATAAAAATCAGAGGGCCACTCAAACTCGTGCCTCACACAATGTAACCTTTTTTTTTGTTTGTTTCTTTGTTTTTAAGGAAATATCGTTTTCAAAATTGTTATATTCCGTTCTAATAGGAATATATACTTAAAAAACAAGGTGGATAAAATAAGTAAAGGTTTATTGGGAAAACCGGTACAATAAGAAATAAGGTAACAGTTATGCGCACGGTCATCGCAAGTCAATCCAGTTGTGAGTGATAATATTGGAAGGCTGGTAATTCTCGCATAAGTCTGAGTCGTACTCAATAGATCCCAGCTAGTGTATATACTACACTCCCCACGCGATCAGATGTGACACAAGGCCGAGTTTAATGTGGGGCATCCGAGCCCTTAAACTCAGCCAAAAATTCCCGTGGAACCCATGTAGAACGGGGTCGGGTAGCTGTTTCTCGAGACGAGACTCTTCCCTTCGGTATAGCCTCGTCTGGGGATCCTCTCTGCTCGGAGGCAGAGAGTTTGACCAGTACTGCTGGAAAAGATTTCGGCCAGACAATATTTACTATTCCACCCCACGAGGGTAGATATAGCACAAGCCTGAGTTTAATTTTAAGGTCATCCAAGCCCATAGTCTCGGCCAAAAATTCCCCCGGAGAACTCTCATCCTGGGTATGACGATAAACTATATCCGCGTCCTGGGTATGACATAAACTAAACCTACGTCAATAAAATCAGGTCCAACAGCAAGGCCTCTGATAATTTTTTTTCTTGGAATGATGTTGCCAGCTGTACATTTTTGAAAATATAATATTATCAGCTATATGTTTTCGAAAAAAATATTCCCAGCTATACGTTTTTGAAGAAATATTATCATCAGCTATACGTTTTGGAGTAATAGTATTACCAGCTATACGTTTTTGAGGAAAAAATATTAAATATATTTTTGATAAAACAAAAGTATTACCAGGAAAAAAAAAGTTGTCGGCATTAAATGACCCATTGAGGCTGATGTGCCGTAAAACTAAACAAACCAAACCAATCCCCGTAGAACCTGCATAAACGAGTTTGAGTCTGTCTAGCTCCCCGGACGAAAATCTGCTCTTTGGCACAGCCTCGTCCGGGTTCCTATCTGAGTTCGAACAGGTTCCAGCTAGATAGTATCTAGCAACTGCCCCACATGTGGCACAATGCCGAATTTAATATGGGGTTCCCGAGCCCGTAGGGTCGGTCAAAATATCCACATAAACCCGGTCTGAACGGGATCGGATTTGTCTACCTCCCCGGATGAGACTCTGCCCTTCGGCATAGCCTCGTCCAGGTTCTCTCTACCTGACGGCAGAGTGTTTGACAGTACAGCTAAAAAGATTTCAGCTTGACCCCGTAATCCGTTGACATAGCGATACTTACAGGTAGTTACTACGTATAGTGTAGTTACTTATGGGAGTGACAGGATATTCCATTAGATCAAAAGTCAATTATTTATTTTCAATATTTTATCTATATATATTGATTAAATGGATCTGGAACATTTACTTAGCTTTATTAAAAGTATTAATTCCTAAAGAAATATCTCCTGATTTATTTTGGGAATAAATTTACTCATTCTGAATGAAAAAAAAAAAATGAAAAAGCAACAATGCATTAGTGTATTGGGAAGGATATTAGAATAATCAAGAACCTGCATACGGGCAGAAAATGAATTCAACAGATATGCAAAAATAAAAGGTAGGGTTAAGACAAGGATTTGTCTTCTCGCCAGACTGATTCACTCTACGCAGATGAGTGATGGCAGACACTGAAAGAAAACTGCAAAAACTACTACATAAGATAGAAGTAAAGCAAGAAGAAACGACTAAACATCAACTGCAAGAAGAAAAAATGGTTGTCAAAAAAAGTTAAGATGCTAAAATCAAAAAAAAAAAAAAAATACAATCATACCTTGGAAGAGTTTTAACAGAACACGGAAAGTGCAACAAGGAAATCTAAATGTGCATTGAGATAGCTAAAGATGCTTTCCAAAAGCTAAGCAGTGTATTAATAAACAGAAAAACTTCGTTAGACAAAAAGAAAAGAGTACTGAACTATGTGATTGTCCAGCATTCACTGCCATAAAGAAGGACATATCTCAAAGTTGACAAAAAGACTTGAAGCAACATGAATGCAACTCATCAGAAGGATACCATGAATTGAATATGTTAACAGCGACGAAGTTTTGGAGAAACTGGAAACGAATACTTAACATCAGGAAGAGACAGTTGAGATTTCTAGGGAAAACTGAGGAAAGAAGGCTTGGAAAATTAGATAAGCACAGGGCAAGCGGAGCAGAAAAATAACGCATAAGATACATAGTGAGCTTGAGTAGATGGATGGCGAACAGGGTTTAGGAAAAATAAGACAATTTATTAAGAAGACAGTAAATTGTGGAGAGCCATGATCGCCTGAAGGGACATGGCACATGAAGTATGCTGACAGATTCTTTCTTCTCACAGAGGCTTCAAGATGTATTATTCCGAATATAAGAACGATATGAAGTAATTTCCCTTCACATTTGAAAGAGAATGATTTTGACTTTTTCAAAGTTTATTTCAAACACATTTCCTTCTCTCTCATCTCCTCGCTCTCTCTCTCATCCCCCCTCTCTCTCTCATATCCCTTATATCTCTCTCTCTCATATCCCTTATATCTCTCTCTCATCCCCTATCTCTCTCTCTCTCTTCCCCTTAATCTCTCTACCTCTATATATCTCTCTCTTCTTCTTCTCTTTCCCCTATATCTCTCTTCTTCTTCTCTTTCCCCTATATCTCTCTTCTTCTTCTCTTTCCCCTATATCTCTCTTCTTCTTCTCTTTCCCCTATATCTATCTTCTTCTTCTCTTTCCCCTCTCTCTAGCAGGTGACCGAAGAGTTCATCACTCGAAATTCTCAAGGTAGACCTTAAATTTTTAAGCTTTTCCACACAGCTATTATTATCAAAGCCTTTCTTAAGACATGTAGTGTTTGTTGCGCCCCGAAACAATGTATTTCCATTGCAGAATCATTTACGATTATATGAAATACAAAGTATGTGTATTCTAAAAAAATCACGCTGTCCAGAAAATCTTTACAAACTTTCTACAAATGCACAAGTAAAAACAGCAGCAAAAATTGCCGCAAAATGGCATAGAAAAATATTAACATGAATATATATTAAAATAATAAAAATTACAAAATGCCTAGGAAAAAGCAGGATGATAAATAATCAGGAAACGAGATAAGAAATCTGGAATGTTCTTTGCATCGTACTGCGAATCACTGGTTCGATATCTGTCATTTATTAGGAACGTTCGGATTTTGACGAAATATTAGCTGATCAGATAGCGCCCCCTCCCCAAAAAAAATTGTGTGTGTGTATATATATATATATATATATATATATATATATATATATATATGTGTGTGTGCGCGTGTGTATGTGTATATATGACTAGATATACGGTTGTAAAAAATAAAAATAAAAAATTGATAAAATGGCGAAAGAAAATAAATATGGTGGATATATGAAAAAATATAAAAAAAATAGCAAAAATAAAAAAAATTATCTCAAAACAAAGAATTAGCGAAGTTTTCTACTTTTCCCCATGAAATCATGGAGTCAAACGAAAGCTTACAAATACTGAAAACGTAAATGAAGCAGCAAATAAATATGAAACACACACAAACAAACAAAAAAAGACGTAGATACAAAAACCTGAGTATCCACGGCCTGTGATAAGGATGCGAAGCGGCCAGCCTATTACGCTAAGAAAAATAATCTTGTTATTACCCACACTGGCGCATACAAGCACGGACGCACACTGACAGAATGAAATACAAATCAAAAACAAGAAAAAAAAAATGTTGCAAGGGTGATAAGGTGTATCTGGAATTACTAGCATTAAGGTACATATTTGTATAAATATGCTTTGCGTTTTGATTTGCATATCTTAATATCGCTATCCAAAATATCTTTCGTCAACATGCGAGGTGTTTTTTTTTTTTTTTTTTAGGCTAGGAATGAGTTTCAACCCAAACTGCCTTTTTATCGTTTTTTAACCGTTGAACTGCATATGGATGCTATCACACACACACACGTCACTATGCTTATTGCTGTTAATATTAACCGGTACTCTAATTATCATCATGGCTTTTTTGTCAAAATTAGGGAATGCGGCCATATCACGTTGAAAAACCGCTTCTCGTACGATCACCGAAGTTAAGCAACGTCGAGCCTGGTCAGAAACTATACGGGTGACCGCTTGAGAATACCAGGTGCAGTAAAGAGCGGGTGGTGTAATGGATAATGGCTCGGATTTTTTAATCGGAGGCTCGAGTTCCAATTCCAGTTGGGTTCGTTATATTCACTGACGGGCAAATATCCTTGGAAAATGAATGAATGTATGTTTCTCTTCTCGCCCCCAGCTATGGGTTAATTAATAAGATTTGTAACACTAAATCATTGACAGACTTTTTTTTTTTTTTTTGAGTTAATGTAAAAAATATTTTTGGTTTTAAAAAAACCTGTAACGGGTTGATAAACCTTAAAAAACGAATCAGTTTTCAAGATTACTAATTAATTTTCGAAAAAAAAAAGCGACTCAGATGTTCTTTATAAGGTAGTGTGTAGTGTTTCGTAAAGTTTTAAATTATTTGCATATAGTGTCAATAATTAAGAACTAAAATATTTCTATTATATTTCTAACGAATTTTAATTTTGCTCAATTTACCCCCAAGCAAAGCGATAAAGGCACTGGAAGTAAAAGCAAAGTAAAAGACTTTAGAAAGAACAGCAAAGCCAGACCTAAACAGGAAATAAGGGATAAACCGCTACGCCTGTTCAAACTGCAGGGAACGAGTGTGGACCGGATGATAGTTGAACTAATCCACTTAGTTTTATTTATCCTTTGAAGCCGAGATGAATTACAATTTATTTACTTAGGCTCAGATATTTAGATAAGTTATGATTCCATATCTTCCTCCCCAGCTATGGGTAAAATAGTACTTGTATTTGGGAAATTTATTCTCCAGAAATATTAATTCAATCACTCGCCAAAGAATTATTCTCATAATCTAAAATGTTTCGGTTTTAAATAAAACAAAATGGGTTAATGAGAAAAAAAGTTAAAAAACAAAAAAACAAACCAATCCAATGAATTGTTAAGGCGATCTTATGACTTTTATAAAATAGATGATTTTTTTTCTTCATTACAGAAATTAACGTGGAATACTTAATTGGTCTGTATTTAGGTATTATAACGAGCATTGGATAGAATTATCGGTAAATTTTCATTTTAACACCCGAGCGCTAATATCCCTTCAAATTTTTCCCAAATAGATTTATTTTCGTGCAAATGTATATGCTGAACTCAAATCAACAATTAGATATTAAACAAACATACCTTTTTGGATGTTAACGACCCGAAAAAAATCGGACTTTTTCCTGGTCTTTCGTCAGCCATTACCGGCTTATTGATAAGCAATTAAGTGCTGAATTCTGTCGGTGGACGTATACAGTTTGGGCCTATTTACTCCCTTCTCAGTAATTTCTTTGTACTTAACTTTCAAATTAGGGTTAGGTGGGTTTTTTGGGGGGTTATTCTTTTATTCTTTTTTTTTTTTTTAAGATGAAAGTTAACTTTCTAATTAGTGTTAGGTGTTTTTTTTTTGGTTATTCTTTCATTTCATTAATTTTTTTTAAGGAAGTTAACTTTCAAATTAGGGTTAGGTGTGTTTTTTTTCTTTTGTTATTCTTTTATTTGTCTATGTTTACAGATATTTGAAAGTTAACTTTATTCTTAAATTAAGTACAAAAAATTCGCTTTACGGAAGCGCGTACTAATTTCTGAAAGAAAATAGTTCAGCAGTAAATGACGCTCGGGTATTAAAATGAAAATTTACCTAATTATCTTCATTGAACATCATCCTCTAGCATTGTTGTTAGTAGCAGTTTGTTGTTAGTATGGTAAAAGAATGAAGAAAAAATTGCAGTCACAACAATGTCTTGTAAAACGGCGCGATTCTTAATCCTGAATTTCTTGGATATTTATCCTTCTTCCTCTTTCTTAAAAGTATTGATGCTTTGGGGGTTTTGCTGGCCTGTCTCTGAGCTGCACAATCTAGTGGGTGAAGGAAGATCAGATTTCCGCTTGTTACAAATCAGAAAAAAAAAATTAACTTTTCAAAAATCTTTCGCTGTGAAGGTATCTCGAAATGGTTGCATTTGCTATAGATGACATTGTGTCATGGCAATATATACTATCTCAGTAATCTGTTGGAGGTATCATCATACGCCTTTTCCACAGGCATATAAAAGAACTGAGGTATTTCCTTTTGTCACCTTTTATCACGTAGAATATATGACACGGACTGTGTTCCGACCGGAAGGCGATATCAAATCTTGACTCTGCGAGGTACATATCATTTCTGTGTTTCGAAACAGCATCCATTTTAAATATTTTCTCGATAGATAATATTTTAACTTAACTATGATTCTTGAGGTACTTAAGAACTTTTTTAATACACCTTAACACTCATCTGGCCTTCATGTACTCTAAAAGTAGGTAAGACCTGTTGGCTTCTATATGAAGCAAAACGTTTTAACTGTCCGCCTAAAAACTTGGCGCTGCTTAATAATTGCTTTCCTCAAACTACAAACAGATCAAGGACTCAACATAGTTGAACGTGAGTACCCTACAAGCCGTAAAGTTTCGAAAACTCTAATCTTGCCCTTTAGTCATAACATTTTGAGCTTTATCCAAATTAGAAAAGCTTTTCTGTAACGGTGGCATTCAGCACCACGATATTAATTCTTTTCTGCTTATATATATTTAATCCTGCTATGTGCAGTGGCTACAAAGAAACATCACTATGCACACAAGTCATTTTAACTGTTTTGTAGAGTAAAAGAAATCGGAAAGATACTGTATTAAAACAGATAAATGTTTTTTTTGTTTTTTTTTTTTGTTTTTATACAAAAGAGATGAAACTAATAAATGTGCGCGAGATTAGGACTGAAAAAATAAAATATAGAATTTAATTTTTGTTAGATTTAACTTGGAATTTGAGATATGAGCAGACATGGCTAGCTAGCCAGATAGATCTATGCAAATATAGATAGATCTCTCGCTATCATTGAGGGTTACTGGGTCGGTCTGCTTAAAAGAGCAAAGCTGTCAAACACAAACACGTGTCCCTCATTTATCAATCGACTTCTCGGTATAACGAGATTTTAACGAGTTTTGAGTTTGCATTTTCTTGCATAGATATTCTAAACTCTTCACAACAACTACTGCGCGCGAATTGGGTTACACTCTTAACGAAGAAAGACGACAGACAGACGTACGGATATACCCGTACAAATTTAAACATAAACACGTGCTTTTCATCTTTCTTTTGTCTTCTCTCTTTTTCGCGAAAAAAATGCTTTTTTTTGTATCGTTTGTTTACGAAGGAAATAAGGCAATTCGATATTTCTCACTTCAATAGTTCATTTTTTTTTCACTTTAAACGAACGGACAATTGTTGATTTACACTCACCTACATAAACAAAGAAAATAAGATAGCGAGAGAAAGATATAGATAGATAAAAAGATAGATAGCTAGCTAGCTAGATAGATAGCCAGAAAGAGTTGATATATAGCTAGATAGATAGAAAAAGACAAGTGAAAAGTTAATTTTATAGAAAGACAATGAATAAGTTTATTTTTACCGAAATATTTTACCATTCTTAAGCTTGACTTACATGGAGAAGATATTCGAGTAATCCGTAACATCAACTGGGATCAAACAACCTGCAGGCTAACAGAACGAGTGCAGTTAGACAAGAATGCATTTTCACATAAGAATTATTTGTCCAATATAGCAAAGCAAATATAAGAGAAGTAAAAGACCTGTTATAGGCAGACAGTCTCCAAATAAGATACACGGATTATAGTGTTGTTGGAAGACACAATAGAAGCTGAAAGAAACCTTAAAGTAATAAAGGATAACAAAACAGAATGATTTTTATCAGCAAAAGGGGCAACCCAAGATATTAGAGACATGATGGGAACGTTAAAATCGAGTCGTATAAAAATGTAACTATTTGCTTAGTGTAATAACAGTCAATGGAATTGTCACCTAAATAGAGCGAGGGAATTCTGAGAGAGTTGGAAATCCTACCAGGATTCAGCATTGGCGACCACAATCTTAACATCATAAGATACGCAGCTGACACAGTACTTATAGCAGACACAGAAAAGAAATTACAAAACCTCTCACAAAAGGTAACGAAGGAGAGCGATAAGGGACTAAGAGAGCATAAATTGCAAGAAGACGATGAAACTTTTCGGTTTTATTTTGGACGAAGAGCTGTCTCTAGTCCATCCACTTGTTCACTGTATTTGAATGCATTCTCAGAATATCATCAGAAAAAGCAATAAAAATGCAGAAGGACGTGTACCTATGTTTCATACACAAGGCAAAGGCCTTCGACAAAGAACGCTACACGTATCTGTTTGAACTTCTCAGCAACCTTGACATATTTCAGAAAGATATTATAATAATCAAGAACCTATACTGGCAGCAAAGATCATGTATGCGCATAGAGAACAAGTTCAGCGAATATACAAAAATAGAAAGGGGCTTAAGGCAAGGATGCGTCTTCTTACCAGACCTGTTCAACCTATACAGTGATGCAATTCTGAGAGAATTGAAAATCCTACCGGAATTCACCATTGATGGCCACAATCTTAACAACATAAGATACGCAGATCACACGGTACTGATAGCAAAGACGGAAAAGAAATTACAAAACCTCCTACAGAAGATAGAAAAGAAAGGACTAAGCATAAAGTACAAGAAGACAGAATAGATATGTCTTCTCACCGGATTTATTCAACCTATACAGCGAGGCAGTTCTGAGAGAATTGAAAATCCTACCGGGATTTAGCATTGGCGGCCACAATCTTAAGATACACAGACGGCATAATACTGATAGCAGACAGGGAAAAGTAATTACAAAACATCCTACACTAAAGACAAAATACATGGTCATCCGGAAAAGGATCATCCCGAAATTCAGGTCGGGGACAATAAAATGAAACAAGCCCAGAAGTTTAAATATCTGCGAAGCGTTTTGACAGGGGACGGTAAGTGCGACGCTGAGATCCGAAGACGGATTGGGATGGCCAAGGACGCATTCCAAAAGCTGCTCCAAGACAGGGTGATTTCATTGGTAAACAAAGAAAAGAGTACTGGGCTGCTACGTGACATATGTCCTCCTCTACGGCACCGAATTCT